AAAACTGCAGCCGCGTCTTCTTCAGTACATTTGGTCAGGATCCAGTCGCGGACTTTGTTTTTCCAGTTCTCAACGGATTCCTCGTCCATGTCCATGTAGTTTGGGAGCGCTTCCCAAACTTGTCGTTTGAGAGGAGGGAGAGCCTTTGACCAAAACTTGTTGAGGGCTGACTTCAAGAGTCACATCGTCAAGGAGAGTCTGTGCGAAGTCCACACACTTGTGTAAGGACATCTGGGTGATGTCCAACTTCTTGAGGTAGATGGAAAAAGTTGAATGGTCGATATCCACCTTGACTCTGAGGTTTTCTCCTTCGATGGGTTCGTATTGCATAGGGAAGAAGTGATAGTTGGACATGATGTTGTGCTTGAAATTGAATCGGACGTTTTGATCAAAAATGCCGTGTCCCACAAGAGACTGAGGACTAACTTAGGCACAGTAGCGATTGAAAGATTGCTAAAGAGATAATATGAGCTTAATGGAGAACTACTTCCCTGGGCAAAACGCGATAGCCATACTGACATCAGAAGAGAAGGTGTGTACTGGATATACACAACTTCCACTGCAGTCTTGATAAGAATGTATTCGTCAGGCTGTCGCCACCTCATTGCCACATCACTGTTGGCTCTTAGCATAGGTAATAGATGTACTCGACATTTGGCAAGATTGCTTTTGACAAGACTACTGTGGACATGCTGAGTAAGGGGGAGTTTGTAGAAGTACTCATATCAGCGTAATCAATGTTCATTCGACTGATATGATTCGACTAGTTGGACTAGTGGTCTAATGTGAGCCACGACAATCCCGCAGTTTTCTGTAAAGCCAGCTTTCTCTTTTTTTTGGAGAGTCGATGTGGTCATTTTCACCCTCTTCTGCACGAAACTTCAAAAATCGACTTTAAAGAAACTTCTACGACAAGGAATTTTATAATTGTTCACAATGCCATTAAGTATTAAACTTCATTCGCCATATTAAGTTTCAAAGTTTGTTTTATTTTCACAGCAATTGTGGAACATCTGTAATGGCCCCAAAAAAACCTGTAAACTTTTCACAGAAGTTTCGGAATAACATCTGTGAAGAATTCACAGAATTTTTGACTCAGACGATAGAAAATTCACAGAATTTTTCGACTCAGGCGATAGAAAATTCAACTCAGAAGACGGTGCCAACTTAACCGTTTTTTTCAAATTTGGTCACGCTTGCTTGAGATTTTGAAGAGAAAACGCAAAGAGAGTTTCAGAATCTTTCAGGATGATGCTTGGAATCGAAGTGACACCAGAACAGGTGCTGATCTACGGATTTGAAATGATTGGGGACTCACCTACCACGATTACTGATGACGACTTCAAGGAGCATAATATTGGAGTTTTCAAGGCTCATTTTGGCCAACGCCCCAGCACTCTATGCATTCTCTGGCAAGACATTTTGAATTGTACGAACAAAGACTTGGGGCTCCGCCCATCTGACAGGAGCAAGGAGGGGCTTAAGCGATTGCTAGTTGCAATCCACTCCCTTGCCTCAGCTACTGGGATAAGCACACGAAGGGACCAAGACGACAACCTATGGCACTGGGTGAAAGTTCTTTGGGCACTGGAAGCAAAGGTGATCAGCTGGTCGGAGAAAGAGTACAAACAAAAGAACTATGGTCCAGGAAGAAAATTTATCATGAATAAACTAGATCCATACCTTTTTACGTACCTACATTGTGTGACTTTGCCTACAATGTGTGACTCTGGTTTTTCTACAGCGATAACGTTTTTCTAACAGCAATCTCTTTCCTCAGTCATTGTTGTGCAAATCGATGACGCATCAAATTGTTCGGTTAGTTTGTGTCGGAACATCTGTGAAAAATTCACAGAGATTTTGGAACATCTGTGAAAAATTCACAGAGATTTTGGAACATCTGTGAAAAATTCTTTTTGACCCAGACGACCAAGCATTGCTTGCGCACAACATTAACCGTTTTTTCCTCTACCGAAGTTGTATGATGCTTTTACGAAAGGGCATGCGTGCACGGATGTCAGCTAAACCTCTGTTGAAACATCTGTGAAGACCCTTAAAAAACCTGTGAAAGATTCACAGAGATTTCGGAACATCTGTTGGTCATTCACAGAGATTTCGGAACATCTGTGAATTTTTTCACAGAATTTTTGACTCAGAGGACAGAAACAATGGTCAATTAGGGGAACTGTCTGTAATTTAACAAACTACGACCAAAACGCGACGATCACCAACCAAGAATGAACTCCACAAGCAGTGATGATGTTGGATCACAGATCTCCATGCAGAAGGAGTTAGCAAGCCGGTCAGGCCCCGATTCCAGTTCAGATTCACACCAAAATGCGGAATATCCCTGATCGGCATGCGACCAAAACTCAAACAATTTTTTACTGTTGTTTGTTTTGGGTTCACGATCAATTGGAGGGTTTTTAAGCAATGGCACAAAAAGACTAACCCCCTCATAGGGTCATAGGGGTACATGCAAATTCAACGCATGCAAATCGCACGTTTGAGAAAACTTGCGGTGGGTCCAGTGGATTGATCATGTTCCACAGCTCAGCAGCTACTCTGTATGGAGTGCCAATCAGAGACTCGCAGATTTCATTTGTTTTATTCTTATTGGCATTGGGATTGCCAAAAAGATCCCTTGCAAGCTCACCACAAAGTTCTTTGGACAGAGATGGGAATAGCATGTCTTGTCATTTTTTGTGATGAAATGAAGTGAAATCGTATTTTGGCTTTTGGCAATCATCGCCAAGTTATATGACGCGTCATCATCAATCGACACAAAATTTCCACGATTGATCACCCATCTGTTGATTTTGTGAGAGGCAACACCGTATCTTGCCAAGTGACAAAACAACAAACTGGGACAAGAACATTATGTGGGTTGAGGCTCATAATATTGAAACTGTTCCGCAATATGCCAGTTAAAATCAAAGCCCATTGTGCAAGTTGTGTGATTGTCAAAAAAGACACCAAGAAGGTGGCAAAGATTCTTGCTGGTCATAAGAAAGCTCCATTCAAGAGCCACGTGTTTTTGTCACAAAGATGACACAGATCCTTGCCGCCAAACAACAAGGACTTCCTGTCAAAGATCATGTGGTTGTAAAAAGCTCCAAGCATGCCCAGAGGGCGGCAGCATTCCGCCGTAAACAAAAAGAAGATGCCAAGCAATCCATGGTTGTCCTATCAAACAAGCCATGTGTTGGACCAACCGAAGCTGAAGTGAATGAGTGGCTTGAAGACAAAAGGGAGCAACAAGAGGAAGCTAATATATTCACCAAGCCTTCAACATATGGCATGAGTTCTCTTCCAACGGACAGTCTCCCCACAACTCTTTTATGTGAATATATTTACTGTTAAAATCCTGAGACGGCTCCACAGGAGCAAGGCCTCTGGATTGGGCTTTGAGTCAATAAAGGTAGTTAATACAAAGTTGGTTGATAAATAATCAAATTAATAAAATGTGAGGTTATCACTACTTGATACTACTTAGAAAGAGTTGCTGCATCGAATCTCTAGGAAAGCTAATGAAATTCAAAGAGTGTTAGAGCATCGATCTCCAGTCGTGACTGGAGTCCCAGCTAGCGGAGTAGTGAAGGCGTCTGTGCGTCAGCACATCTACTATGAGCTCAATATTCCAACCGATGCTTACCAGCCGATTAACCATTTCCTATGTTTGATGAAGAATTCGACAGCCAGCGGTTTTGTCAGTATATCAGCTGGTTGATCCTCAGTATCAATAGGATGGATGGTAATCTCCTTCCTTGTTACATACGACCTAAAGTGGTGCAGTTTTGTGCAGAGGTGTTTTGTCCTGGGTCTCCACTTGTGGACTTTTGCCATTTCCAATGCCCCAATATTGTTGTCAAAGACTCTGCAATGGACTTTTGGGCGATGATCTAGGACAGGGATTCCACGCCTCTTCATTTCCTTGAGTAGGTTCATGAGGGGAATCGCTCCACACAGACTAGTGTATTTGCTTTTGGTAGAGCTCAAAGGGATTTTGGTTTGTAATTGACTTTTGTGAATTATTGGAACACCGGCATACATGATGACATATCCATGATGTGAGCGTGCCGTGTCTGGATCATGTCCATAGCATCCGTTCCAGTTCCCACAAAAATCTGCATCATACACCTCCAATGATTTTCTCAAGTCCGGTTTGATGAACATTCCCTTATCTGCCGTGCCTAAAAGGTAACGTCCAATTTGTTTGATTGCTTCACCATGCGCTTTCCTTGGTGCTGACAAAGATCTGCTGTACTGGTGACATGCATATGCAAGTTCCAATCTTGTCCCTTTCTCCAGGTAGGCAATTTTCCCAATGATTGATTGATAGTTGAATTAATTGTCGAATTCCGGGGAATCTGCTTCCTTTTGAAGGATTCTGGAGTGGATAATTCGAGTGTCTCGAGAGTTTGAATTGTTGATTGGCTTATCTTTTTGCTTGAGTCGCAAGGTCTCTAGGATCTGATTGATGAGGTGAGGCTGCGTGTGCCAAAATCCGTCGTCTTTCTTCTGGATTTTTACTCTGAGAAAGTCCTTGAGATCCCCTTCAACAGTCAAGTCTAATTTTTCTTTCATCAAAGATATTGCTTTGTTGATTTGTTTCTTGTCGGGTCCTGCAATGATCGAGTCATCTGTGTACAAGACATAGATCATTTTGTCCTTGAAGAAGACGCAGTTGTCCACCTTGGATTGGGCAAAGCCGCATTCTCTCAGCTTCTTGACCAGGAACTGGTTCCAAACATGTCCAGCTTACTTTTGGCCGTATGTGTTGCGTGTCACCTTGGAACAATAATCAGCCGGGTCTGCTCCATCAAGGTCTATCCCTTTTGGAATCTGTGTTGGATATATTAGGATTTTCAAGGTACATATTTGGAGAAACAAGAAAAAGAGAATACATGTGAACGACAGAGAAATGATGTCGACTGATACGACTAAAAATGAAGACTGATACAACTAAAAACATCGTGCATGGCGGGTCAGAAAAGATAATTTATTTCTATGGAAATCATCTTGTTGATGGTGTGAGAAAGCAAGATTCAAACAAGAACCAAAGTTGGATACTAATCAAAGTACCGACTACAGTGGAGCGGATAAACAGATTAGAATTCTTAGAATTTCCACTGAGCTGGAGAAGAAAGAGTCAAAGTCAAAAGTTGACAGACTGTTCTCACTTGTTATAATATATTGCAAGCAACAAGTGAATTGGTTGATAAAGTAGGATCTCTGATAGATCTATATACTTCTATATACTGTAAAGTCATATACTTAGAAGGCAACAATACCTGGACAGCTAAATCACAGTCAATTGAACAGGTAGATTGCAGGCGGCAGTGGATCGCTTACTTATAACATATATTATAAAAAGTCACTGAATTGAATTGGGAGTCAATATATTCGTACGACTTGAAAGAATAGGAACTTGCTCATGATGAGTGGACAATTTAAGAATACTGGACGTGGTTCCAATGGAAGAAACGCTGGACGAGGAAGATTGCAGCAAGGCCAAGGTAATGGTCAATACAATGGAAATAAGAGTGGCAATGGTAGCCAGAAAGAGAAGAAGTTTCATCCTCTGACTAGAGGAAACATTCCCAAATTTAGCTTTGATGAAGTGAAGAAGACATTGGTGATTAAAATGTCAACGATGAAGATAGATCATATTGATGACATGATTCAGAGTGTACGAACCTTGAAGTTGTTCGATATTGAAAGTGTGAAACCAACATTGGTATTGATAACTGATGAGAACGATGCTGATAAGGAGATCAAGAATGAAGAAAGAAGAACTAACTATTTGGCTGATCGAAAGGATTGGAAGACCAGGAAGAACGCGTTTGATAACAATAAACGCAATGTCTATGGAATGATTATGAAGATGTGCACCGATCATATGGTGGACAAACTTGAGCGAGAAGCTGACTTTGATAACAAGCTGTTCAATGATCCTGTGGAGTTATTGATGCGGATCAAGAAATTTATGACGACTACTGTTGATACAGAATGGGAATATTTTGGTCTTTGGAAGACAATGAGCAATCTGATTAATTGCCATCAAAAGGAGAAGGAAAACATTGCGAGTTTTTGTAAACGATTTGAAGAAAGGGCAAAGGCATTGCAAGCTTTGCTCGGTGATGATTTTTTGGACAAATTTACTGAGAAGAGTCAGGAATATGATTTATTGGGAAGCAATTCTGAACGATCCCAATACAAGAAGGAATCATGGGAAAGATTCATGGCCAACGGATTTCTGTATAATTCCGATAGAGCCAAGTATCAATCGAGAATTGATGGAATGACGGCGCAGAAAGAGAAGAAGTTTCATCCTCTGACTAGAGGAAACATTCCCAAATTTAGCTTTGATGAAGTAAAGAAGACATTGGTGATTAAAATGTCAATGATGAAGATGGATCATATTGATGACATGATCCAGAGTGTACGAACCTTGAGTCTGTTTGATATTGAAAGTGTGAAACTAACATTGGTATTGGTGACTAATGACAGCGATCCTGATAAGGAGATCAAGAATGAAGAAAGAAGAACTCACTATTAGGCTGATTGAAAGGATTGGAAGGCCAGAAAGAAGGTGTTTGATAACAATAAACAATGTCTATGGAATGATTATGAAGATGTGCACCGATCATATGGTGGACAAGCTTGAAAGAGAAGCTGACTTTGATAACAAACTGTTCAATGATCCTGTGGAGTTATTGATGCGGATCAAGAAATTTGTGACGACTACTGTTGATACAGAATGGGAATATTTTGGTCCGTAGAAGACAATGAGCAATCTGATTAATTGCCATCAAAAGGAGAAGGAAAACATTGCGAGTTTTTGTGAACGATTTGAAGAAAGGGCAAAGGCATTGCAAGCTTTGCTTGGTGATGAATTTTTGGGACAAATTTACTGAGAAGAGTCAGGAATATGATTTATTGGGAAGCAATGCTGAACGATCCCAACACAAGAAGGAATCATGGGAAAGATTCATGGCCAACGGATTTTGGTATAATTCCGATAGAGCCAAGTATCGATCAAGAATTGATGGAATGACGGCGCAATACACGTTGAAACATCTGGATTTCAAACAACGTTGTACATTTCCAACTACTTTGGAAAATGCTGCTTATGTTTTGAATCAACACAAACATGATAATAGGAAGAAGAATTCGAATGGAGGAAATTCGAATGGACAAGTGAAACAAAACAAGTTAAACAACAATCAAAATGACGGAGCTCAGTTTTCGCAAGATCGAAGGATCATGTCGCACCTCAATGTGCGTGCAAATTGAAGCCGCAGGAACAGTGGAATAACCCGGACAAATATAGGGATTATTCAGACGCAAATGGTCATGGTAATTGACAAAATATGCAATGTGATGATAATGCAACGCGTGATGATAATGAATCAGGAGATTCAAACAATCAATGGAACTATGGACGTTCCAACAATGGGTCCCATGGAGGACAAATTATTCAACAAGGACATACTGACAATCATCCAAGACAACAAGGAATGATGTTATTTCAACACAACAATACTGGTATCCACTTGGATAGTGGATCTACTTTTCATTTGCAAACCAATGAAGATGACTTTAAAGAAGGAAGTCTACAAGGAATTCATGGAGCTATTTACAAGTCGATTGACAAAATTTTACGCATTGTGGAATTTTGAATCAAAACTATTTAGTGGGACAACAAATTCAAACCGGTATTTGATGACGTGAAAGATAATATGGATGTGACCATGAATTGTGCCGTGCCGGGCAAACATGAACCAACTATTGAGCACAGCAATCAAACATTGAAAGGATTATTCCAAGCACACTATCATCGAATGGTGTTCAAGGCAATTCCCAAGGTTTTGGCTATTGCTTTACTCAAGCATGTGACAAAGGTTATTAACTTTTATCCTGCAAACGAGGGAATTTCGAAATATTACAGTCCACATATGATTGTTAGAAGTAAGCGATCCAGTGCCGCCTGCAATCTACCTGTTTCAATTGACTGCGATTTAGCTGTCCAGGTATTGTTGCCTTCTAAGTATGTGAATTTACAGTATATAGAAGTATATAGATCAATC